ACAAATAAATGTTTTATTATATACAAGCTCCACACTTTACATAGATTTATACTTGTATTGGAAACAAAAGGCATAACTGACATAGTTTAACTGTGCATGATTTATACAGAAATCCAGTGAGTTGTGGGCTTTCCTTGGCCATTTGGTTTAGTCCTGATTTAATTCTTGATTTAATTTTTTTCATTTTCACGTGATAAAACATAAAGCATAGAATATATTATACAATAGACTGTGACAGTCGATGCATAAGCTACTTTTCTGAGTCCTTTGAGTTTGAGATTCATGTTCACAATTATTATTTTTTCTTTCTTTTATATACAAAATAAATACATTATGCCTATTGACAACATAACAATTCATTTAACTTAAGTGTTTTTTTTTTTTAGATAATTTTGACTCCAGATGCTTTAATGTGAACGTTTTCATAAAATTGCATGTCAGCATTACTCCCCCTACTGGTGGAATAATAACTTTTTACCTGAAAAAAAAAAAAAAAAAACTACAAAAAATGGCAGACTATGTAACTTTTCTGCTAGTGTTTTTTCCTTGAATGTTCCACAGTATGGCGTCTACTTTAACTATCTCCATGGAGACAAGCAAACCACATCACCAGGCCAAGTTACAGGTCAAATCTGTGGAGAAGTGAGTCTGTTGTTCACAATAAACATGCACGTTTTTGCTGTAAAAATACCTGTAAATGACTAAAAACAAGATATAGTTGTTTAATGCCATACTGTGGAACATCCCAGGCAAAGCAATGACATCACCACGAGAGAAGCAGACGACGAACCCACCACCAGAAAAGTTACACAGTGCACCTTTAACAGAGTCCTTCTCAAAATAAAGACTAACACATCCCACTTCACACACCATTTGGCGATATTATAACACATCTGTACAGTAAAAGCAGCTAAGATTCACACACACATAAGTACACGGTGCTTAATTTACATCAGTGTGAAAAACAATACTTTCCATGTCATTTCAGATACTCAGATATTACATTTACAAATCTACAGTTCTTTGCACTTCCCCCTTTTACACCCTAGGGGGCGACATATGCACATGAAACAAAGTGAAGATTATTATACATAGCCCTCCTGTCCCATTGCCTGGTTTGTGCCAGGTCTACGCTAGGATGTCAGGGTTGGAGTGATTGCGTGACATATAATCGTGAAGCAGCACGTATGATCCTGGTTGATTGATTGATGAGCTGACAGTCACCTTGAATCTGAATAAGTCATGGTATTTGGCACTTTATTTATTAGCTGGGTGTCGAAAAGATGTAGGGAAGAAGGTGTATGGACTATAAAAACTGTCAGGAGCTCCAGATTACCACAAAATAATCTACAACCTACCAGTGATGTTTGAGCTGAAGAGGGAGACAAAAGTATATGCAACATAAAACAGTAGTAAAAAGTCATTTAAAGTTAGATAAAATGAGATAAAATGTATAATAGACTTTCAAGAGCTTTTAAAGATTTAATAATAATGTTCCCTCATTATAAGTTTACTTCAGGTTGTATAGATTCATTCATACGTGTTTGACTAATCCTGCTTTGTCATAAATCTAAGGCTTGAGCGCTCTGAAAATGTTTACGTTAAATATACATATAAAATATAGCATATAAAATATCACTTTCACTTTAATTTTCAACAATTAAAACATATACATTAACTTTGCTTCATGTTATACTCTAAAAAAAAAATCACAATGAGAAGGCGGAGCTTTGCATTTCTCTCGTTTTCAAACAGGAAACCAAATGATCAAGATCTATAATGTTCTAAAAACGTTATGATCAATGTTAAAGGTGCACTGCGCAACTTTTCTGGTCTAGTCTCCACGGAGATGTTATTGCTTTCCCTGGAATGTTCAATTTCTATTTAACATTCATTCATATTGCTCAAAAATACTATCATTTCATCTGTGAAAAGGGGTGGCTCTCCACAGATCTGACTCGTAATGTTAGGTTGTGCTGTAACCTGCTGGTCTTCCTCGTGATAGATAGTTTTAACCTGCACTGTGGAACATTCTAGACGAAGCAATAACATCTCCATGGCGACAAGCAGGTAGCGAAGTTGCACAATGCACGTTGAAATACTCGAAAAGCATAAAATGTCTTCTTCAAATCATCAAATATATAACCAATTCTTCAAAAACATTTCATCTCTCTCCACGTGTGAGATTGACATAAATTCAATTCCAATATTGCTACTCAGTCTTAATGAAAACCTGATTCGCCTTGTGGTTAAAAGTCGCTATTTGGCCCGCATAGATTTTCTCTTAAGGATTACACCGTTTGACACAATCTCCCCACCGTGACTTTTTCATGTTATCGATCTGATTGACAGCGTACAAATCAATGGCCCTGCCGAGACGGATATTTAATCCTGTAGTCAAAGCCGGCTCCCCCAGGTCCTCGGGGAGTGTCCTGGTTCTGGCCTGGTGAATTTGTCTCCATTAGATCATGATTGGTTTGTTCTGGTGTCAGTGTACAAGATGGAAATGAAAGATTAATCACAATTGAAAATCAAATCAAAAGTTGAAATTGAAGTTTGAATGGATGGTATTAGCAATCACAAGGCTGGTGTTTTTGAAGAACCGTAATTTCTGTCACAAACAAACTAATTTAATAGTGTCATTCTGTGTAAAAACGGCTAAATCTTGGAGTTTAAATCTTGTATTAGTTTGTCTTTTTTGTTGATTCTTCTGCGTTTTAAATGTGAACTTTGAACAGAATCCAATTTAACAAAAAATAATTCTGAAATCTCATCGCAATTCTTGGACTCAAACAGTTTGGTGTAATTTTTAGCTATTTTAAAAGTTAGTAAATTATATGCTTAAAAAAAATCTAATCTATCTGTGGGTTCCAACTTCCTGTCACATGGAGCCATTTTGAGGACCTTTGAAAAGACACAATGATTGGTTTTGATTGCTAATTGCTATGGCAACACTCCAGACATTTCATCATTCATCATTGAGACATGTGGGTTTCATAGTGATTAAGCAAATGAAATGCAAGCTGGTACCGTCCCAAATCCATTTAAGAGACGTTTAGGAAATAGCGATGAAAACCATGCATGTCACATGTAAGAAATGGCAAAATTTTCAATTGATTTTTTCAAGATATTTAAGGCAAGTTTGTATTCACAACAGGAAATGAACGATAATGTTAAAATACATTTGAAAACAGCTAAATATCAGACATAAAATTAAAACTGGAGAAGTTGGCAGGAGCAACATCAAGACTGAACTAAAGATTGTGTTAAGTTTTATGAAATTTTACATTTTATTGTTTGGTTTAGGTATTTTCTCTCTTTTTTTTTTCAACAAAATCCGAACAGAATTTGACCTTTGAGCTGCGAACTTCTCCAAAATGATAATTGCTATTTTATTTTCAATATATTTGTCTAATCTGTTACAATAAACCGTAACGAAAATGTCCACACGCTAACATAAAGTGCTTGTTGTTGTAAATGTATAATGATGACAATCTTTATTGGTCATAAGCACATGCAAAGTCTGGGATATACCATTGCAGTTCTTTTATTCAACACCAGATGGAGCTAGTACAAGCGAAAAAGTCACGCGTTTGTCCATAAGTGTTGGCAAAGTCGTTGTCCAGGTTTCCAAAGTTGAGATTTACTTGCGTGTATTGCATTATGTCGCCTTCAAAACATGTCAAACGAACACTTTTTTTTTTTTAAGGTGTGCGTATTTTCAAAAGTTACCATTAATTAAATATAAAGAAAGCTCAGATCTTCACAGTAGTCTTTTCCGAGCAAGTTTTTGTTTTGCAGCTTGTAGTAGACCTTTTTCACAACGGCAGGAAGTGCCAGGATGTAAGGTAAACGTCACTTCCTGTTAATGATTTTCTATGGCAAAATATCGGTGAAAATGTCTCCCATATTTTCCAACAGCTTCATAAATTTTCATCCAAAAAGGTCGACAAAGGATAAACATTCTGTCCATGAAGAATTTATCCACAACTATCAACGTAAGAAAGACGAAAACTTAAAGGCAACAAACAACGACTAACATTAGTGAACTACTACTCAGCAAAACTAACGCTATGGTCATGAATAAAACATAAGTAACTTGTTAACTCAGACTGATTCCAGAATTAAAATAAAAGAAAAATCGATTTCATGATATAGATATTAGCATAAACAGATAGATGTGTGTAGTTTGAATGCTATAGAAGTTTACAGATTACATGTGTAGCATTCGAACTGCACAAATCTATCTAAAATCTTTCTATGTATGCTAATATCAACATCACAAAATCAATTTTTAATTTTAATTCTAACATCAGTCTGAGTTAACAAGTTACTTATGTTTTATTCATGACCATAACGTAGTTCGTTTTTCCCCAGACATATCCGTTTTTGTGTCCTGTCCTGGGCGTCCGTTTTTTTTCCCCATAAAGTGACGCAAATGTCTGGGTTTTCATTATCATCCATTGGGCCATTAAACTGAGCGTCTCTCGTAGCTCTCTGTGACTCAGGAGGAGAGAGCAGACACAAACAGTAGGTCATGCTGAAGCGCAAACGTGCATTTAACGATGACTTGTACAAGAAATTCTCTATTTTCTGTCCCGGTCGAGACAAGTGGGAGGCCATGTGCACAGGTTGCGAGGTGAGAGTAGCTCAATGTGGAGGCCCCACCCTCCCACCCCTGGTAAGGTGTCCGGGTTTTCACAAACGGAAATATGGTCACCCTACAATAACGCTACTTTTGCTCAGTAGTTCACTAATGCAGGTCGTTGTTCGCCTTTAAGTTTTCGTCTTTCTTACCTTGATCGTTGTGGATAAATTCTTTCTTTGTCGACCTTTTTAGTTGAAGATTTCGTGATGGGGCAGATTTATAAAGCTGGTGGAAAACACGTGAGACATTTACACAGATATTTTGCCGTAGATAAGCATTAACCGGACGTTCCGCAAACCTACAGCGAGGCACTTCCGGCATTGTGAAAAAGGTCTGTTAGCATTAGCAATACTCAAGGCCTGCACTCTAGCATCTTCTTAAACGCCTTCCTGAAACTGTCGTCCAGAAACGCATACAGAAACGGATTCAGGCAGGAGTTAGCGTAACTTAAGCTGGTGATGAAGTAGGAGATCCCGATTAGCAGCGGCGTTGTCGGCAGATCCGTGGTTAACGCTACGATGGTGCTGAGGTGAAACGGCGTCCAGCAAAACAGGCACACCGCCAAGACGATGAAAACCATGATGGTAACTTTCTTCTTGGCCTTATCTAGTGCTTTAGCGTTGCTGTTTAGCCTCATGTTCCTCAGCTTGTACAACATCATCGTATACAGGATGCAGATCGTCGAAACGGGAATGGCAAATCCGAGAATTAGCGTGTAAATTCGGCTGGATTTGAACCACAGCGTTTCGGGACTGGGGAAACTAAGCACGCAACTTTTCCTCTCGTCGACTGGATTGATGTACACGCTGGCAAACACGGTGAAAGGCATCACGATCAGGATCACAAGGACCCAAACGCACAGAGAGATGATTTTGGCCGCTCTGTAAGTACGGTAAGGCATCCGTTTGGACCTTACTGTGGACAGGACAACTAAATAACGATCTATGCTCATGACGGTGAGGAAATAGATGCTGGAGAAGATGTTGTAGTGGTCGATGCTGAGTATGATTTTGCAGAGAACCTCCCCGAACGGCCAGTAGTGGAGCAAATGTTCTGCGATGTTGATTGGCAAAACTAGAGTGAATAAATCGTCCGCGATAGCGAGGTTTAAAATGAACATGTTGGTGACAGTTTTCATCTTGGGAGCTTTGAGGATCATGTAGATGACTGCGGTGTTTCCGGTAAGTCCCACAGCGCAGATCACAGAGTAAATAACCGGTAAAATAACGTAAAGATCGGCGTAGAAGAATAAATCAGAGGGAGGGGTGCAGTTTGAGTTTAAATTATAGTCCGATTCGTTGCACATAGGAGGTGCGTTGGATAGCACCGATATGTTCTCCATGATGATTCTCTGTGTTTGTTTTAGAAATTACAATCTTCTTATGTTAATTTCTTGAGAAAAATCAGTCCAAAGTTACCAAGTTGGGTAAATTCAAAACTCATCCACAGCTGAAAATGAGTTGAAAATGTTCTCAAAGATTGCAATTTGCCAGTTGATAATGAAGACACTGTTTACAAAGTCCATGAAGTATTGCTATTTCCTGCTAGAATGGCATTTATGGTTCACATGAAAGACGGTAACCAAGTCCGTTCATGACACAAGGAATTATGGATAATTGTATTAATAAGTTGCATTTCCAGTAGACTCACCAGCTGTCTGTACAATTATATCTAAATCAGGAAGTCATAATCCTTTTACGTCTTTCCACAAAACCAAATGGGTCGAAAGTGAATCCATGAAACGTACGTCTTCATTTTAAAAGTGTCTTATTTTTTTTCCAATGCTGATTCACTTGTCGCACGTTAATCTCTGGAACGCTCAATAAGTCCATTCACGCGGCAGAAGGTTGACGCGCTGACGCTGACTCCTCTGGCACTTTTCTTCTCTTTTCTTCTCTTCAGAAACTGTGAGCAGAAGATAAGATGATTACGCACGGACGGCGCATCACAGAATCTAAACAAAGGTGAGGGGAAAAGAGTCGCAAAGTACACAGGGGCTGTCCAGCGGGATTAGTCTAATGTCCAGTCAGACGTAACGTATGCGTGCCTTACCGGGCAACAAGTGCGGAGGCAGGGGGGCAGGGATCGCTGCCCGAGGACTAGGCACGTTTGAAAAAGGCAAATACAAACACAGACCCTAGTGGACTGTCATTAACTCAAAATCCACCTGTTAACTAGTTTAGATTAAAAAATTTACTTCAAAACATGGCGAATATGCGACAAATTGTGTATTACTGCTGATGTGTTGATTTCTTTTAAAATTTAGGATCTAATATCTAAAGTAAATTAACATAATCCACTTTGACACTACTGATATATGTTGTACTAAGCCTTGCGATGTTATAATTAATTCAAAATTACTTTAAAACCTCTGTATGCTCTAAAAAAGTAGATTAACAGATTAACTACTCTACATTTCTTTAAATAGAGAGAGAAAAATCAGTAAGTTTAAGATGAAGATTGAATTTTAAAAAATCAATAAAATCAACAAATATACAGTCGATTAAATTAGTTTAACTCAAAAATTGTACTGATAACTTACAAAAATCAGTTCTTAAGCGAAACAGATCTGAACAATACACGAGTTTAGCCGTCACTTTACAATTCTATAAAAGAGAAACAAAAAACATTTCAGAATTTTTAAGATAAAGACTGAATCAAAGCGCTAACTTAACTAACAAACTCAATTTGATCAACTCAAAAATCTCAGTTTGTAAAAATCAATTCAATTTGAGTGATAAATGACTAAATAATAATGTATAAATGAGTTGTTTACCCAGAGCTGTGTTGTGGTCCACTGCTCCGGCTCCACTGAAGGCACAGACTGCTCTCCCTGCACTACAACCCCCGACGCTTTCTCTCCTCCTCCTCCACTCTCTCTCTCTTCCTCTCACTCCTCCTCCTCCTCTCTCTCTCTCTCTCTCCTCCTCTTGTCCCCTTTCACCTCTTTCCCCGTCTGTCTCTTATCTACTTCCCTTCCTCTCCATGTTTTTTTGTGTGTGTTTTTTTTTCCGTCCTCCCTCGGATTATATCTGGTTTAGAACTACAGTGGAAAGGATGTAGTCCACTTTTAGACCCGCTGTAGTCCTAGATTAGACCAGGTTTAGATCTGGTGGTACAAACGAGAGCCACTGCCTTATGTCAGTCTCCCTCTCGCTCTCCGTTCCTCTCACGTTTCATCCTTTAACCCACACCTCTTCCTCTCATCCCTTATTTTTTACGCTCCCCCTCCCTGACTTCGTATGACACTTTTGGTGTTGCACTTTTCATGAAAACTATGCCGTGTTTGATGCTCTGAAGGTAATTTTTTTTTTTTTTTATCATAATGAAATAATAAAATCTTGAATCTCCCTTTATCTCATCCCTCTTTCTCTTCTTTCACTCCATCCATCCCCTTTCTTTCTTCCTCTTGTCTTGTCTCTTATCTCCTCCGGTCTTTTCTCCTTTCCTACCTACATAATCTCTCTCCTTTTTTCTTCTCTTGCTTCTACCTTTCCTGACTCTCTCTCTCTCTCTCCTCTTTCTCTTAAGCTTGTCTTCTTTCTCTCTCTCTCCTCTTTGCTCGCTGTCTCTTCTTCTTCTCTTACCACTACTACGACTATCTAACTATCCCTCCACCCTCTCTCTCTCGCTCTCATTTCTCACGCCGACTTCCCTGACTCCATACCCCACCTCTCTGTCTTTCTCTCTTCCTCCTCTTCTCTCACAGTCTCTCCTTTTAGTCTTACTACCTTGACTGTCTAAACCTTCTCTCTCTCATCTTTCACTCCTACCTTCCCTGACTCCACCCCCTCCTCCTCCTCCTCCTCCTCGCTCTCTCTTTCGCTCTCTCCTCTTCCTCCTCCCTCGCCTGAGCCAGTTGTCACTCTCTCCCCTCTCCGCGGTCAGACGATCGAACTCGTGGCTCTTTACAACAGCACAAGCTCCACAGTGGTCGCCCAGAGTCTCTGCATTTATTATCAGCATTTTTTACCGTGTTGTTTTTTTTTTTTTAGGACATGATCCACTCGATGCTTTAATTGAGTTCATCATTTTCCCACCAAATATCTAGGCAAATTCTGACAGATTCTCACGTTTTACTCATGTGGCGGTTGTTGAAACGAGGATACTCAGCACCAGCTCAGTCCTTGCTACGAGTGAAGTCTGTTCCATGATATCAATTCAGTCGATAACCTGATTGGGCATAAATTGAGGTAATAGGGCTGAAGTACGCCCAAGATGTCTCATAATGTTTTAGAACTTTGATTCATAAAAAGCCGTGAAGTAGTTTCATCGAAATAAGGGAGGTTCTTTGCAAAGATTTGTAACTTAATATTTATTTTATTACATTTTTTTTAAAGGGAGTTATTGATAGATTAATATCTGGAATCAGCAAATACTTAAAGGTTGTATGGAGGATTTTTTTTTGTTTCAAATTGTCAATGATAGCATTATAGAGATGCAGTAGCCTTGTAATTATGATGACCAAAAAAAAGAGAATAAAAATTCATCAACTCTGGACGTGGTGGGGCTAAACATTTGCCAATAGATAACGACACTGCCTCGTTATCTGTGAGCTGACAGGCTGTCAATCAATCCCCCTACGTTTCTAGCGTAACTGACTTGCCTGCGCGCCGCCGGTACGTGGTTTACGTACGTCTGTCACGCAGTCCACAGACGCAAGCCGCACAGACGCTGTTTACTCCACCAACGCAACAGTTCTTAGCGGCTTTTTTTGACCTATATCTTCCTCGCAGTTCGCACAAAGTTTGTTGCAATGGCAGACAAGAATCCAGGAGCAGTTCGCCGCAAAAGAAAGTCCGTTTTTGAGGTCGCTGAAAAAAAGAAGACAAGAGGAAAAAAGCAGCGAAGCCAAACTAAGGTGATTCTTGAAGATTCATTCCAGCGATGGCGCGAACTGAAGCAGACGCAGGGTCTAAAGACTGACGCACTGGTCGCACAAATTACTCCTGGACAGGTCACTTCTGCTTATTATGAAAACGTACTTTATTTCCAAGAGCTAGACAAACGTTTTTCAGGACACGAAAGCGATATCCTATGTCTGAAAACGTAATTTTCAAGGCAAAGAAAGAGTCCGCTTGCTGCTGCGTGTTGTAGCTAGTTCATTCGCACTGAATCTCTGCGCAACTCTTCTCTGCACCCCTTTCCTGCTCCTGTCCCCGCTGCCCGATCCGCTCTTCCCCCTGCTCCTCACTCCTCCGGGCACGGAATCTCCGTGCACCGCTCCCCTCTCCTCTCCTCTCTCCCCTCCTCTCTCCCTGCTCCGCTCTTCTCCCTGCTCCTCACTTCTCGTCCGCACACGAAATGTCCGCACACCCGCTCCCCCCGCTCCTCACTTCTCCGTCTTGCCTAACCAACACTGTAGTTAGTCGTTTACAAGTCATGTGCAGCGCACCGGCTGTAAACAAACCTGTTTCTGGCGTAAGGAGGAGGAGGAGGAGGCGTTTCTACGTAGGAGCTGTAGGGGAGGGGGGTGGTTTCACGCATGCGCAACATTTGAAAAAGGACAAACAGTCGCTGGATTTCTCGTTCCTTGGAAAATCCTCTATACAACCTTTAAAGCTTGAAGGTGCACTGTGTAACTTTTTCATTGGGGGTCTGTCACCTGCTTGTTTCTATGGAGATGTCATTGCTCTGCCTGGAATGTTCCACAGTATGACATTAAACATCTCTACAGTACAGTACAAGTCAAACTTCAACGTAAAGCCAATGACACTATCAAGGCACAAGTGTTTGGACCTATAACACATGTCTTCTAGGTCAAGGACTAAGACGCTATAAGAACTGCGTTAAAATGCTGTTTACCTGCCAATTACATGCAGATTTATAGGGAGTGAATGAATGAATACTGATTGAAATTATACAGGGACTTTGATTACTTGGAAAAACTCAATGGAATACTCATATATCCTTGTTATTTGATCAGCTTCCTTGTTCCTGTTTGTCACTGTTCGCCAATTACAGCTGAGTATCTCCGGCTCTCCACCAATCACCTTTGAAGCTATTTAAAGGTACCATATTACGCTGTTTTTTGATCCATGTTATAATATTGTTTCCTCTTCAAAAACATACCTGTACTTTGGCTTTTGCTTGTGTAATACAGAAAGTGTGTTACTGTTTTTAAACTCCATACACCTTCACTGGAATCATCTGAAATTTGCAATCTCTACTGAACAAAAGGTAAAAGGCAGATGTTCAAAACTCTCACTAGACAACATCACAAAGTGGAACGGAGCATTTTGAGCTCTGGAGATGTGAACAAACTATTACTTAGTGTTACTCAAACATGTGTGAATGAAACAAAACACAACTCCAGGTCTGTTTATGAGGAGGTAACAACAT